CACAGAACAGAATTAATTCAGATAAGGTCCCTAGAAATCCCTAAATTCTTCCTAAATCCTTAGGGACCTTAGAGCAAATAATTGAATTTGTGAAATGACCGAGTTACCCCCCTCCCAATTAATTAGAGTCTAAATTTTTGTCAGCGTCAAACCCTTGGCCCATGCTCTGTTTCTCATTTGGATAACTGTCAACTGTTTGTTGGTTCTCTCTGGGTGAGTCCTCGTTCAACTCTCAATTTCTTCTCTGTCGTCTGAATAATTGCATGGAAATCTGTTTTAATCATTCTCATTTTTTCATCTCCCGTAGTGATTACATCAACCTGTCGACAAAGGGAAGTACTGCAGGCGAGCACAACCAGGTGCGTCTCCATTATCTTCACTGCGATAACATTGCCTAAACCCACCGGCATAGGTGACCAACCTTCTTGAAAAGCCCGCTTCGGCGATGTAAGAATGCCACAAGGTGAGAATGTTAGATCTAGCAACCACGATTTTTTGCCTATGCTTTCTAATTTTTGCTTCTGTATCTGGCTGTCAGTATTCAAGTGTTGATGGATGGCAATTTTTGGCTTTATTGTAGAAATTATTCTTTTTGGGTTCCTTGTAATGAAGTTTCAACGCCTTATATATATATATATATATATATTTTGGATAACATTCAGTTTATATATTAAGAAAGTGAAGGGTGAACTTCTCTACTCTAATATGAACATCGTAATTGGCTAAGATAGTGACAAGCGGTTAGAAACTTATAATGTCATGACAGTATTTATTTTCCTTTTTGTAGTTGAACAAAATGGCTAAAAAGAGTAAGAGCAAAGATGGACAAAGGCATAGGAACTTCTTGGGATGCATACTATTTACTGAGGAATTTTATGAGAAGAACAAGAAGAAGTTTAAGTGTTTTGAAGAGGGCAGTAACTCTGTGAAAAAGGCTTAGAGGAAGTTAACAGAAGAGGAGAGAGAACAATATAGTTAAAGGGCTAAAGAAATGAGAGTCCCACCAAAAGGGAAGAATTATATTGTTCCTTTCCACATACAATGTGCTCTAGGACAATTTATGGAAGTTTGCAAGCACTTAAAGAAAAGTGAAGATAAGATGGAAAGGCTGAAAGAATTGGTTTTGATAAATTGGTTGAAATATGCTGCTCATAAATTTATAGAGATTTTTATGGTGAATTGATCCATGTGTTTGACCCTGTAAGTAAGAGAATTTCAATTCGAGGGAAGACGCATCAACTGGGGCCTGGAGATGTTGATCAATTGATGAGCCTACCATTTAAGGGGGAAGAAATTAAAATGAATGTGGAGAATGAAGATGAAACATTTAAGGAATTAAGGAGTGACTACGAGAAAGTGCCATATAAAATAATAGGAAGATGGTTGATTGAAGGCAAAGAGGATGAAAAGTTTGAATTCTTTTTTGTTATGTATGCATTAGGAGTCCTCTTGTGTCCTAGCTCTAGTGTATTGGTCAGTGATAAAGTATTAAAGGTCATGACGGCGACCGATGATAGTTTAGGACAGCATGATTGGAGCAGCTTCATTTTCAAAGAATTTTGCAACTCAATTACAGAGTTCAAGAAAGGAAAAAAAAAGGAAAAGCTAATGGGACAAAAAATGTGAGAGGTTGCCTGTACTTTTTAATGGTAAGTGTGGGTATAATTCACTTACTTTGAAGTTAGTTGTATTGTCATTGTGCGATGTGCTGTTATCAATGGGTGCCATGTATGTTGTAATTGGTGGCTCTGTATGTTGTTATTGACTACTCTATATGTTGTTATTCGATGGTATGGACGTTGTCAAATGCTTATGTGTATGTTGTGATTGGATCGTGTGAAGGTTGTTATTGGCCTTTGTGGGTTTGTCACTTGCTGATGCATATGCTGTAATTGCCTGCTGTGCATGTTGTTAGTGGCCTCTGTTGGTCTATTACTTGCTTATGTATATGTTGTAATTAGCTGCTGTGCATGTCATTGGCCTCTATTGTTTTGTCAGTCACTTATGTATAGGTTGTAATTGGCTGCTGTTAGTGGCACAAATGTAGGTTGTGATTGGCTACTGTGTAGGTTGTGTATGCCGTGCATGCTGTCATTTGGTTGAGTGTAGATTGTGATTGGGTTATGTGTATGTTGTGATTGGTTGGTGTGAAGGTTGTTATTGAACAGTGTATGGGTTGTTGTTGGCCTCTGTGGATTTGTCACTTGCTGATGTATATGTTGTAACTGCCTGCTATGCATGTTATCAATGGCCTTTATTGGTCTCTCACTTGCTTATGTATATGTTGTAATTAGTTGTTGTGCATGTCATTGGCCTCTGTTGGTTTGCCAATCACCTATGTATAGGTTGTAATTGGCTGATGTGATTGGATGCTAGGTAGGTTGTGAGTGCATGCTATCATTCGGTTAAGTGTGGGTTGTGATTGGCTTTTGTGCATGTTGTTAATGCGCCAAATGTAGGTTGTGATTGGATGCTAGGTAGGTTGTGAGTGTATGTTGTGCATGCTGTCATTCGATTGAGTGTGGGTTGTGATTGGGTTATGTGTATGTTGTGATTAGTTGGTGTGGAGGTTGTTATTGAACAGTGTATGGGTTGTCATTGGCCTTTGTTGGTTTGTCACTTGCTGATGTATATATTGTAATTGCCTGCTATGTATGTTGTCAGTAGCCTCTGTTGGTCTGTCACTTGCTTATGTATATGTTGTAATTAGCTGTTGTGCATGTCATTGGCCTCTGTCGATTTGCCAGTCACTTATGTATAGGTTGTAATTGGCTAGTGTGATTGGATGCTGGGTAGGTTGTGAGTATATACTGTGCATATTGTCATTCGGTTAAGTGTGGGTTGTGATTGGCTTCTATGCATGCTGTGAATGCCATAAATGTAGGTCGTGATTGGATGTTATACAGGTTGTGACTGTATGCTGTACATGCTGTCATTTGGTTAGGTGTGGGTTATGATTGGGTTCTGTGCATGTTGTGAATGCCACAAATGTAGGTCGTGATTGGATCCTGTGTAGGTTGTGAGAGTTTGGTGTGTATGTTGTCAGTGGCCTCTCTATATGTTGTGATTGTCAGCACATAGCTAAGTTATCATTTACTTGATATGCAGATTTATTGCTTACAATACTTTCCTTTGGGAAAAGAAAAGGCTTCAAAAAATAAGAATGCTATTATCTATTAGGATGAGCAAAAAGTGAAGGTAAGAGTGAAATCAGAAAAGAGTAGTGACAGAGGCTTACTACATGGTGTTACCAGCATTGTGAAGGGAATTGAAAAATGCGCAACGGAAAATAAATTTAAAAATTTCAATCCCTTGCCCGGATCTACCGATCGTGTTTAAGTCAAGTAGTAAGAAGCATTACCTTCGATGTTCGATTTCTTGGTGGCTCGGTGATTCCGCCGTTCAGGATGCCTCTGCTCGCCTCCTTTGTCGCTCGAAGTTGACAACTCCGGTCGGCTTCCTCTACCAGTATCCACACGAACAGCTCTCTCGTCACGAACGACGTGCTAGCGCCTCTTTGTCCGTCTAGGGTTTTTCAAAGAATCCGTCCTCCTCTCTCTATTTTTGGCCGTCTCTTATCTGCAAGCTTTCGCCCTCTCACACCCAAAACCCTAGCTCCTAATCTCAAATATATAGGATGCTATAGATATTATGAATGATATTTAATTTCAAAATTAATCCTAAATTAATTTCGAAATTAATGCAATATCAAATATTGCCTAATCAGATAAGAGAACAATTAAATAAATATGGTTTATATTAAATCCGTCTCACAGATTTAATTCACCTATTTATTTAATTCAAAATAAAGATATGACGGAATTAATTTATATAGATCTAATTTATCCGTATAAATTAAATCTAACAATTAATATCTCTTATATTTATATAATGTGTATATATATATACGAATTTATATATATACACATGTCCACCCTATATTATTCATTGAATCTGGACATATCTTTAGATTCAATGAATCTGGACATCATAACTCGTGTTGGGCTATTTTGTGTGCGACCCTGTAGGCCCATATGAAGTTGGCAGTGGGCCATTAACTATAATGACTCACAAGTTGTAAGCAGTCTCTAGCAAGACATCATGACTACCCAAATCATATGAGGATCGTTGAATGATGTAACCTTTCATACAACCATATCATGTCCTTTTTGTCACATGACATTTTGGTCATGGATGAGGCATGGATAACGTCATCCTCCTATTCATGACCGTTACTTTCTCGATCCCTGAGTAGTCTGAGTATAGAAATGGAACTACCTTTCCATTATAGTATGGCCATACATTTCTCAGACTCACTCATCGAAGGGCCCAGTAATATCTCTCTATCAATGTGAGGGACAAATTCCTTCTTGACCATTCACATTCCTCCGCATGAAAAACCACTAAGCCTGAACACAGTCTTTATAATCACTCGGTCAAAAGTGACTTTTGACTAGGTCAAAGCTGAACGTTTCTTATGTAGGAATCCATGATGATCTCAGGTCAAAGGGCACAGTGACATGGTTTGTATATGAGAGAAGCTTATGACTTAACCCATGCAGCTCTCTCATGGCGGGTCGGTCCAACACCTTGTACTCTTACGTGTGCCTATGACTTTGATTTATATCTCTATATATCTTCAAAGTCATACTGGTCTTATTTCATCTCTGCTCCCACATAGATGACCGACCAGGACATTTAGGATAAACCATGAGTTATCAATGATAGTCATCACAGTAAACATGCAAATAATATGATAACACAATTAATAAATTCATAAATCAACAATGTTCATAACACAATGATTGGCCCCTAGGGCACAATTTCCAACACATTGGTGGGGCTTCATTTAGTGCATTCAATACAGAAATAAAGCTAACCCACCCAGTAAGTAAATAATGTCTAGGTGATTTTGGTGCTGTGTACAATTTAGGGTAAAGATTACTTTAATTACTATTATTTTATAGGAAATAAAGACAACTTATAAAAGGTTGGCCACCATGGTTGAAAGGTTGGTGTCGACAATTGGAGAAGAGTTGGCTTCCCTGCAGTTGAGGTTAATGGATGAGGGTGAAAAGAAAGATGTGGTAGAAGCAGTAAGCAGCGAAGATGATGAAGAGAACTCAAGTAAAGATGAAGAAACTAGTAGAGATGGTAAAGGAAGCTCAAGGGATTCAATACATGAGGAAGAACAAAGTAAACCTGAAAAACATGATAAGGAAGAGGAAAAAAGTAGTCCGCTTGAAGAAGAAAGTAAATCTCAAAATGAAGAGAAAGGAGAAGGGAGTGAACCAAAAAAAGATGACAAAGAAGAGGAGAAAAATGCTCCCCCTGAAGAAGAGAGTCGATCTCAACATAAAGAGAAAGGAGAAGGGAGTAACCCTGGATTAGAGGATGATGGAGAATAACAAACTAAAGACAAGTCTAGTGATACAACAGCAGAAGAGGATAAGAGGAAGGCAATGATGAGGAGGGAAAGGATGAAATGAACAAGAAAGCATAGTAGGAAATGGAAGTAAGAAGGTCAACACAAGTGAGAAGTCGTGCAATCAAATCTCCCTGGTTAGAGGAGGTAAAAAAAACCCGCGGCAAGAGACAACTTGATGAGAAAGAGGGATTATTCCGGATGTTGACAATAAGATGTGATGAACATAAAGGTGGCAAGTAATTGTTGGGACTGATTCTAATTGGGAAAACTGACCGACAATAATTTTACACATTGTAGAGATTCTAATTGGGACTGATTCTAATTAGGAATTATTCCGGATAAATTGCTAATTGATTCTTTTGGTGCAAGTACATTGTTGAGATGTATGGGTACTACCTGACACGTGCTGAGCTTTGTTGCCTACAAGATAGGAAATTGATGAACAACAGGGTAAGATAGTTGTTTACATAGACAGAGAAGTAGCAGTGTCATTATGATTATGACTAATAGTTTGTGTTTGTGATATAGTTCATGTCTATAGTGGCGAGAACTTTGGTAGGAGATGAGAAAGAGAACTACGGTCATGTCACTAGGCACATATTTTCACCTGAGTTCATGCAAACAATGGCCGGTAATCCTCTTAGGTTGAGCATGGAGAACCATGAACGTGAAATCTTGCTAGAGCACTTAGTATATAACATTGGAGACTGTGACTTCATATTTGGCTCCACCCTTTTCAATTACCATTGGTTCTGTTATGTGTTGGATGTAAGAACCATGAGTTTCTATGCCCTTGATTCATTGGTCGATAATTTGACCATGTTGAGAATACAAAGAGAGGAAGAAGATGCAAATCAAAATGGGGAAGAAACCAAAGAGGAAGCAAAGGGTTAAGAAAGGACAGATAGATCCTAAGCAATTCATGGCAAGAGGGATTGTATGCACAACTTTTCATTCGTTCTATTACTTGTTAATGTGTTTTGGTTACTTATCTGCGCAAATGTCCTGGTTGTTAATGCCTACTAATTACTTGTCATCGGTAACTATCAAGGTTGTTAATGCTTCCTCATAACTTGTCATTCATTACTGTCAAACCTGTTCCTTTTTTTCTTTCTGTTTTGTAGAAAGATTGTTTCTATTGAGTGCTCCTTGTAGTCAAGCCAGCACTATTTGAGGAAGAGGACAAAATTGACAAGGATGATATATGGGCAAAAGTTCATGTCCAATTTGATACGTGAGTTGTGGGTTATGAACTACAAGTTTGCATGTTTGAGCTGTTGGGAGCTAATGTTTATTGACTAAAATATTGGTCTTTCCTTTACAAGGGCTCTTATGGGGTTCATGTTTTGAGCTGGTTACAAATGTGGGATGGCATGGAGCATGGTGATGATGGTTACACACTGCCTAAGTACTCCCCTCAAGAAATCCATGAATTGAAGGTTGGGCGCTTGTGGTGGCTCGTTACTCATCAGAACAACCTATATGGTGATCAAGTACTGTCTTTGCTACGAGGAAACCCCAAAGTTTAACATCCCAACTTTTGGGCCTAAAAGTACCAAAAATAGCTTGAATTGGATAAGCTACCAGACCCCTGTTAGTAGAGGTCCCAAAGACGAGAAAGGAAGTTAAAGTAGTTTTAGGGACTAAAATGCAAAGTAAGAGTTTGCAGGGGCTAAAGTGTAATCAAAGTTAGAAGCTCCAGTAAAGTCTCAAAGGTCCTAAAAGAGAAAAGAGGCTAGATACAGGCCAAAGGTTAAGTTAGAAACCTCAAAGAGAGGATTATATGGAGCTAAGTCCAAGCAGGGACTAAACCGTAAATTCAGAAAGTTATGATCAACAGGGGTAAAAATAGAAGAGTATACAGAGAATTCCAAGAAAATCCCAAAAAATGGGAAATAATATTCTAAGGCTCTTCTGTGAAGAGAAAAGACGAAAATACCCCTGAGACAGCTTAAATGGAATTTATAGATTATGGCTGGTAAAAAGTACATGGTTCGAGGTAATTATTTAAAATAGCAAGAGACTTAAAAAATGTACACAAAAATGAGGTCAAATGGTTGAAAGGTTGTACTAATTTATAAAATTAGTCTCGCAACCAAAAGGCCAGTGGAATGGCTTTACTAAATTAAAAAGCCGGTTATGCTGATAAAAGGGCATTTTAGTACATGAATTTTTATGCAAGGCTTAAAGGAAGTGTTGTGGCCTAAAAAAATTTATAGATACTCTCTAGAATTAAAGGGAATTTATGAAGCAAAAAGAAGAATTTTCTGAGCTCCAGAAGGTCGTCAAGAAAGCCGGAGAAACGTGGGCCAAGTAAATTAAGAGGAAACTTAGGGAACAAGTTTGATCCAACGGCCAGGATCTAATCTCCCTTCTCCTCCACCATATTTGTGACACCTAGCACCTTCTAGAAGAATGAGATAAGGATGATGCAAGAAGATGATGCAATGATGATGTAAAAGTCAACTTAGAGTTCCAAAATTACCCTTACCCTTTCTATTAGCCACCAATGGCATTTTGGTCCATTCAAGCCAAAGTTTTGGCTATAACTACCCCACCTCGGAAGATTATTTTGGCAGCCAATTATAGAGGGAAAAATCTGCCAAAATTTAGAGAGAAAAACGTAGGGGTGAAGGCCAAGAAGAAGAACAAGATTCAAGCTTCAAGATCAAGGTATGTGATGGTTATAGTATCTGCCTTGATGCCTATTTTGAATAAGTTACTCTTTGTATCTGATTTTGAAATTTGGCATGATTAAATTAAACTCTATAAGCTTTAAATTCATGGGTAGAACACTTCATTTGGATATGTGTACGATTTATGGTGATTTTTCAAATTTAGGGTTTGAAATCTGGAAACAGTGTTTAACCTCTGGAAGAGTGTTGAATTCTATACAATTCTAGTACTGTTTAGAATAGAATTGGTTCCTAAAACTATTTTTTATTTAAATATAACTTAAGAAGCTTTCAGTGAGACTTTGAACCACTTAGTTTTGATTTTTCTAGAATTAATTATGAATTTTCAAAGTTGAGTAAAAATTCTGAAATTTCTGCGTGAACAATATCTGTGAAGCAAAATTTTCAGATTTGATCTTCTTGAATCTAATATGATCTAAAGTGGTCCTAATTGACAAGAAACGGATCTTAAGGATGGGAAATGATGAGATTTATGTTAGAAAAGTTAGAAAGAAAGCCCTAAAGCCAAGAGAAAGGGGTTAAGGTTCAACAAAGCTAGTCTTGAACTTTATGTAATCTAGTGGTCCTAATAGATTGTATGATCATTGTGATAATGTTTAGGACCTTTGAAACATCCAAGAGGATGTTTGGTGATGTTAATCGAATGCCCACATAGTTGGAAAGTCAAGGGAGTCAAAGGAAAAATAAGAGGAAAGCCTGAGGTGCAAGGTAGTGAACTTACTTATTGTCATTGCTTGATGTTGTATGCTTGTGTGTTGCCGTGTACATGTTATTGAATGTTATTGTGATATGTTTTAGCTGCTGTAATTGCTATTCATGATGAGCAGATTATATTTCCATAGCCATGCATCAAGAAGTTAGCTTTGAGCATGCTAATATGTTACTAATTAACAAGAGAATAAACAAGTTGTATGTAGTGCATTAGCATCCATCTATCATGATTAATATGGTATTGTTTGCTACTGAGATTCTTCCAAATCTCACCCCTCCCTAACCAACCATTTAGGTCAATCATCAATGGACAATAATGGCATGAGAAGCAAGGAGAAGAAAGTGGAGAATTGTTCATGTTAATGAATGATATTATGATTCAATGTGTAATTCTCCTATTATGTAATTTATGTTGTGGATGCCAATGATGCCATGTAATTAATTATAATAGTTATGGCACAAATGAAAGTGTATGAGCATGAATGGGAAAGAGTAAGCCCATAGTATGTATGCCAAAGAAATAAAAAGAATTAAAGTAAAGAGATGTTAAACGATAAAACGTAGGTCCTATAGCAGTGAGTTTGTAGCTCCAGTTTGACCAATCAAATGAATGGGTTACATCACAAAATTTGGCAAACTCATAGTACATATCCCAAGATTTAAAATGAGAGGTAGATCACTTCAATTGGATGTGTACACAAGGAGATACGAATTTCCAAAGTTGAGCAATAGAATTTGGAAGTTTCCCGATTTTATGAAATAAACAGTAGTATTTATTGATTAAACTATACAAATTGGGAAAGGATAAGTCCAATTAATATTTTTCCTTAAAGAGAATCAAATATATTTTGTAAAATTTTAGAACACCTCAATACAATTTTTATGGAATTAGTTATGAATTTTTGAAGTTAGACCTGTAATCTAGAAGTTAAATAGTGAATAGTAACCCGAGTAATTATGTTGAAATTTTAAATCCATGGGCTTGTGTTGTGATCTGCTTGAACCATAATACTTTCGAATGCGTACTCTAAGGGGTTAAAGGCAGGACGTTTCATGAAGCAAGAGGAAGAAATAAAAGACGAGCATAGATTGTCTTTAGTGCTTTTTTAGTTGACAACATAATGGCTGCTGAATGTAAAGTTCAGATTTCATTTCGTTATTTCACCATATAATGATAGCTTGATGTTTAGATATATTAATGTGTATTGACATCCGATACTAGTTATGAAATTTTTTTTATAATAGCATTTATGTGTTTTGACAAGACAAGAAATTCCTCTCTACCACATCTATTTACAACTTCAACGGGGGTTGCTAACAACCCCAACGGGGGTTGCTGACAACCCCAACATAAGGGGTTAACAACCTGGGCAGAACCCCTGACAACCCACTCTGTGGGGTGCCATAGCTTGTAAATAGATTGTATTATTAGCACATATAATGATCTTAACAATAAAAACTGGGAGCATTTTGAAGTCATTAATAGTTTTAAGTATCTGCAATAGGATGTCACCAGATTTTTACTGTATAAGTTCATTTACAACTTCGAGCGGGGATTTTCACAACCCGAACA